AAACCCTAACCCCCTAAGCCCTAAAACCCTAAACCCCTAAACCCTAAAATCCTAAAACCCCTAAACCCTAAACCCTGTGTTGCTTTGCAATGTCGGAGTGGTGAGGTGGCGAATGCGGTGGCGCACAAGCAGGCGCGGTTTATGGTTTTAGGGTTTAGGGTGCTGCCAATCTTCTTCGGACTTTCAGGTGAAGGGGTTTAGCCTTTGAGGTGTAGGGCTTAGGGTTTAGGGGTCTAGGGGTTTAGGATTTAGGGTTTAGGGCTTTGGGGTATTATCCAGTTGTGAGTTTAGGGTTCGGGGTTTGGGGTGCTCTGAGCCGCAACCAATACAGTGGTCGGAATACTTACCCATAGTATTTCTTAGGGTTCCTTTCTATAATCATAGTAGAACATATACACCAAAAACCCCAATCTAGTTTTCAAAGCCCCTGAGCCCCTGTATTAATCCCTTCTGCTTAGGGTCTTGGGGGCCCTTGGGGGTTTAGGTCTAGGGGTTTAGGGTCTAGGGTTCAGGGTCTAGGGTCCAGGGTCCAGGGTCCAGGGTACCCTGCAAAGAGGAGTTTTGCAAGGACCCCCTGGAAAGAAAGAGATGTTTGGAGCTCTAAGTCCGGAAAGGAGAATTGGGGGGCAAGGCGCCCCCAGAAGATATGGGTCGTTCTCTAAAGTAGGGTCCCCTTTTTTGGGGTCCTTTTCGTAAGGGTGCCGTACTATACTGGGTGCCCAAAAGGGACCCTAATTTAGAGAACTACCCATATGCTTGGGCTCTTACTGGCCCTAAACCCTAAGCCCTAAACCCTCTTACTGGCAGCTCTTACTGGCAATTTGTGTTTGGAGCGATTCGAATGACAGGTCGACTCCTATCGCCCCTAGGCGCTGCCTGGACCCTGAAGAACCTACCCCATTTAAGGACGTAGGTCAGGAAATCGTAGTAAGGAGCCCTAAACAAAGTTAGGGTCCTCAGAGTCCAGGGGAGTCCCGAAACTCTTCAAGCCCTCAAGAGGCAACTGTTCTTATGCGCATAGAAAACACAAACTCCCCAAGGCCTAAACCCTAAACCCTAAGCCCCAAACCTAAAGAGGCTGCCTATGACATGGAGCTGGCAAAGCACGCCACGCACGCGGCGCTGGAGATGGAGAACACGCGGAGGCCCGGAGCCGGGGCGTGAGTTCTGTGGCCCCAAAATGCAAGGGTCGGTTTAGGGTTTAGGGTTAAGGGTTCAGGGTTAAGGGTTTAGGGTTCAGGGTCTACGGTTTAATCGGTTTGGGGTTTAGGCTCAGGCCTAGCGGTTCTCCCTTTGACGCTTCCTCGTCTTTTTTAATCGGAATCAAGTACTTAGTTGTAATACGACCCAGGGGGGTGTCGTCAGGGTTTAGCGTGTATCCCGGGCAGCAGGGTAACCACCGTTTTCTTTCTCATCATCTTGGAGACTTCTCATAGAGACATGGGGGTTCCCTTTTGGAAGCCCTCGACGACTGTATGCCCTTCTCCGGGTAACTCACAATCAGCTGCAAACGTCGTGGTTCCTGAGAAGTCGGAGAATCCAATCTGCTAGTTACTTGCTCACTCGCTCACTTAGGCACTGGAGACCGGACAACAGGATGAATGTTGAGACAATTTCGCAGACACGCTGCTACATCAACAGTGACAGTGACACATGGCGACGCTGGAGGAAGTGATGAACACTGCTGGTACATGGCCAACGCAGATCATGCGTGAGGAGAAGACTTAGAATCAGAGTAACAAGGGCGGCCAGCATGTGAGTAACCCTAAACCCTAAGCCCTAAGCCCTAAACCCTAAGCCCTAAGCCCTAAACCCTGAACCCTATACTCTGAGCTAGCAAGGACAGGTGGTCATGCTTGTGGTTTACTGTGCTGCAGGGTCCCGGGTTCGATTTCTTTTCTTTATGTCCTCAAAACACATGGTGGGGGGGCCTAGCAGTTTGCGCCTCTGCTATCACCTTCTTCCTGTGACTTTAGCCCGGCCTGTCCTTCAATGATTCTGCTTACTGTTTGGTGTACTGTTCGGAATATGATAAGAAGCATCCTGTATGAACGTGGTTTCGAAGATGATGATAACTCCTGCTACCACGAGTGATATAGGCACTGCTTCTGAGACTCGTTTTTCAGTTAGCTCATGGCCTGCTGCATGCTGGTATTAATGCTAGTGCTCTTCTTCTGTTGCTACCGTGGTTGCTGTTGCTGCTGCTGTTGTTGTGGTTGCCACTGCCGGTGGTGTTGGTGGTGGTGGTACTGCTGCTGCAGCTACTGGTACAGCTGGCACTGCTGGTACTGAGCCGTAAGCATGGTACTGTAGCCGTTGCCCTAGAAAGCTCAAGAGGTTGGTGGAAAGATACATCCTTGGCACCGACGTGCTCACCATCAGCGATGTGGAGCCAACTGCGGGTCAGGTCGAGGCAGATGGGTTCGGAGAAGCCGAGGTATGCGGGTTGAGGGCTTAGGGGGCTTCAGGCCTCAGGGTTGCAGGGTTTCGGGTTTTTTGTTATGGCTTTACAGGTTTGGCGTTTTATGTTTAGGGGTTCTGGGGTAGAGGAGGTTCGTGGATTCAGGGCACTTGGAAAACGGTAAGGGCACAGCAGCTTTATTTTTCATTTTACACGGATTTATAGGTTCAAGTTTCTGATGGTGTAGGGCACTCCGTCTTCGTTGGTCTTTTGTTATTGGCTTGGCCTTGCGTCAGTGAGAATAGCAGTAGCAGCAAAAACGCTGACAAGCGAAAGGGTGGACAACAGGGCCTCTGGAGCAAACGGACGAAAGACACGAAGCAGATGCCCGAAGCTACAGAAATCGACAAGCAGTGCACTGGGTACTACGATCCAAACGTTGTCGAAGACCAGCCAGCGAAGAGATCGTCGATCAAATCCGTGCCGAGTCTTGCCAGCAATGAAGCTTCAAGCCCCGAGGGCCGGCACTCCCGAAAGGATAGGAGGTTTTGAGACCCAGACCCTTGAACCTAAACCTTTTGGATAACTGGACTGTTCAGTCTTGCTCAATGGCAAGTACCACTATCGCTGTTGCATGCATTGCGTCGACTACGTCGCAACTTGCCCAAAACCCGAAACCCTTAGCCCTAAACCCTAAACCCTCAGCCCTAAGTAAAGAAGGCCGTAGTTCTTGTTTTTGCACCCAGATCATATCGGGGCCTTAATAATTACCTCTACTACTTTGGGGGTGTTCTGTATAATAATTATGGTATCATGGGCCCCAAAGCCCTATGCTATAATCTAAGGCCCCTACGTCAGAAGGTTTAAAGCTGCCACGGTGCAACGCATTGGTGTCCCCCATCTTTGCATGTTGCCTTGTGGCTAGTTCTGTCATCTCACGGCTTACAGTTGAGGTTTCTTCTTGGGTTTCGGGCTTAGGATTTTAGGAAGAATCTAAACCCAAATTAAACCCTAAGCCCCTAACCCCTAAACCCTAAACCCTAAACCCTAAACCCTAAACCCTAAACCTAAACCCTAAAGCAGGGCCCTTTCTGAAGCCTAAACTGGACCTTCATCTGTCAAAGCCTACTTGTCTGGTAGGGTTCCCTAAACCCTAGACGCCTAAACCCTAGGGTTTAGGGTTTAGGGCCTAGGCCCTCAACATGCCTGTAAATTTCATGTTTGGCTTTAAGAACCTACAAACGAAGTAGGTCATGGTAGTTTAAGGTAGCAGGTAACTCTAAACCATTCTGCAAGGGCGGCGGCCCCCCGAACTACTCGGCCTACGCGTACCCGCTGGATTCCGCGACCTGGCCCACGCCGGTTCCTCAGTTGAGAGTTCTGCCTTAAACCCTAACCCTAAACCCTAAACCCTAAACCCTAAACTCTAAACTCTAAACCCGGGTTTGGGCCTTCAAGCTTGCAAGGCGTCAGGACAACCCTGCCTTCATTCAGCCTGGAACCCTGACCTGAGCCCTCAACCCCAGGTTCTCATTACCGGGGTAAGTCTTTGGCAGCTTAGTTCCGCAAGGCAACCCGAAATCCGAAACCCGCGTGACCTTAAACCCCTGTAGTTAGTCATCGCGGTAACACCTAATGAGTGGAGCCATATAGTTTAAATGTAGCAACCTTTATGGTGGTCCAGGAACTATCCTGTGCCAGAGCCGGCCACCCTGGACAAGGAGTACCTCCTTCCAGAGAAGGTCCACCCGCGAGAGAATTCGGGGAGGATGGGAAAAGATGGAGAGCGCTTACGGTATAGGGTGCGGTTTAGGGTCTAGGGCTTTGGGAGTAAAAACTACGAGCTAGAAATTCGAAGAGCAAATGCCAGGCGACGACAAGGCCCTGCGAGTGAAGGAGTAGCAGTAGGAGCGGGAATAGCGACATTCGATGCATTAGTATGCATGGTCACCTGGAGCTTGAGTATAGCAAGCAACACGCCGGGGATAAAAAGAAGTACACAGGCGCACCAAACGTGAAGCAAGAGGTAGTGCTTGCAACTACACCAGGCATGAAAAAAAGGCAGTCGTGGCAGAGCCAGTAGCAGCAGTAGCAGCAGCAGCAGCGGCGGCAGCAGCAGCAGCAGCAGTAGTAGCAAGAGGAGTAGTAGTAGTAGTAGTAGTTGTTGTTGTTGCAGGAGTAGTTGTAGGAGTAGGAGTAGGAGTAGTAGCCCCAAAACTTGGACCGCCAAGCGAGAGACTTCTTGCTGCCCTGAAGGAGGAGTAGGAGTAGGAGATAGTAGGAGTAGGTGCAGGTGCAGGTGCAGGAGCAGCAGCAGCAGTAGTGGTGGTAGTAGTACTAGCAGTGGTAGTAGGAATAGTAGTAGGTGGTCGTCGTCGTCGTCGTAGTAGTAGTAGTAGTTGTTGTTGTAGTTGTAGTTGTAGTTGTTGTTGCCGCCACGGACCCGACGACCACGCAGTGAGGCTTTGGAACAGGCTGCGGGCGCAACTCTCTTTCTCGAGAGGTCCCAACCAGGCCCCCAGGGTGACGTAGGCTCGGCCCAACGAATCGCATCCAATCAACGGGCTCGGCCCAGCAAAGAGAAGCCGGCTCGAGCGGGGACGGCAGGGCCGAAGGCACCCTCAACTACTCGGGCAGACGGCGTCATGTTTGCTTTCACCTGCCATTCAGACTCCCAGCATCAGATGGAAGGAACACGACAAGGGTAGGGTTTTGGAGGTCCGCTTTGATTGGTTTGGGGCTCGTGGTAGCCGTGTTGGCTGTGTGTCAGTTTGCGAGTCCTCACGCGCTGTGTAAAGCAGGTCCCAGCCCGGGACACTCTCATCATAGCAGGAAACTTCAACTCTTCAGTGACTAGTCTCCCATGCTTAGTGGGCCCACGCACGATAGCCCCGCAGGAGGCTCGGCCTGAGTTTCAAGCTCAGGTGGCTCGGCCAAGCGCACAGGACCCCTCACTTCGTTCCTTTTAGGCAGCTGGAAGAAAGGGGGTCATCTTCCGTTGCTTGCCAGGATACAGCCTCTCCGTCACTGGCAGCTGCCGGGGCCAAGAACAAAGCCGCTACTTCATGACTCCGAGGCGATGCACCCAAGCAGCCGAAAGAAAAAACAGGGGGGAAGGACACTCTACTGGCCAGGCGAATGTGGCGGAGTAGACGCTTCTTGGCTGATGCCACCCAGGAAGAACAGCGGGCCCTAAAAGCTCTGCACACTCAGCACAGACATGCAATGAAATAGGCGCGTAAGGCACGTGCAGACAAATTCCTGGCGGAGACTGAGCAGGCGATCGGAGCGGGGGATCAGGGGATCAGCATGTGGCCTATCAAGTGCTCAAACATCTCGCCCCTGGAAGCCTTCCAGCAAGGCACAGCTTCAGGACTCGTCTGTCTGGCTATTTGCTTCGCCCTCAGGGCGAAGTGCAGGAACTGCGGAAGTACGACTGAAGATGGGTGCTGGCTCATTCCCCACTATGAGCCCACAGCTGCTAGAGAATCATATTGCATCCATCAAGCCTGGGGAGGCTGTCCGTAAGGGTTCGGCGCCAGTGGCAGCCTCCTGAGGCAGATGCGCTTCTTGAGCCTTTCCAAAGATTCCCGAGAGCCTGAAGCGGAGCTCCTATGCGCGGAGAAGGAGGATATGTTGCGTCGGCAGGTAGCAGCCTATCAGGCCTGGGAGGACTGGGAGGTTTTCAACATGTTGGCCGCTGATGGTACTCGCCGCTCCCGAGGAGGAAAAGGTGTGTCATCGAGCTCGAGGTGGCATCTCGCTCCGGTGATGGTCAGACAGTCAAGAGACAGGTTTTTGAGGTTCCGCGGAGGGGCACTTGCAGTTACGAGTGCATGCCTCCATGCCATGGATGACATCCCAGACTCCGAAGTGTCTACTGTGGTTTTGGGATTGCTGCCTGCTAATGAGGAGTTTGAGGCACTCGACCATGGTGCCTTTATGAGACACTATGAGGCCTGCTGCGAAGGGCAGATTCGTCCTCAGGAGGTTGTTCGTCGATGGGGGCCGGACGTGCTGCAGATCATGGAGGCACAGTATGCGGCGCAGCTGGAGGAGAAGGCCATGGCAAACGAGCTCTATGGTGAACCTGTGCAAGCACAGGAATTGCGGGCTGGTGCTGGGATTGTGCCATTGCTTACTTCTGACGATCCGGGAGTGGCTTCTGCTTCAGGGGTCCTGGGTGAGCCTCATGGTGCCGGAGCTTCTACTGGAATGAGCACTTCGGGCATCCCTGCGGGTTTGTCGGTCACGGTGGACCATCAAAGGGCTTATGTGGACCACAAGCATCAACAGGACATGGAATCGAAGGGGCAGTATTGACTTGGGTGATGAGTGAGTATGCTTCGAGGGGCATCACATGTCTCTCCTGAAATAGGAGTTCTGAATGCTGGCTTGGCAGACGGAAAAGACGTTCTACAAAAAAACCCTAAACCCTAAAC